TCAGAAGGGTTGCCCAGCCTCCGGTGTGTTGGAGCGCTGAGCCTTCTGAGGTGTCGTGCGTTGATGCTACCTTGAAGAGCAATGATTCTTCGTCCTAGTCGTACAGTTAGCAAAATATCCATGCAGTTTTGCAGTGACGCACCTTTGACAGAATGCCGAGGTTATGGATAAAGCACAGCATGTGGAAATTCGAGATGGCGTTGAGACCGCTGGTCGTGTTGAGCGCCAGCCCGTTCGCTCTAGCGTTGAGAGCTTTGCCGAGATGTGAGATCTCTGGCATCTCACCCATGGCCTCGCGGTTCTCGATCGGGAACTTGCCGCCAGTGAAAAGAGGGTTTGGCTGAGTAGGGAAACCGTGTGTTAGTGTGAGAAGCAGATATTCCACAGGGAAGTCAGGTTTCGCGATTTCTTGTACGTTCGCACCGTGTTCGTTGATCCTTCTGTAGAAAACTTCAGGAATGTACCGCGCGCGGTTCAAGGCTTCATTGTCTTCTTCCGACTGAACAAGCATGACTGATGGCTCGGCTGAGGGCTCGATGATGTCTGCGCGGACCATCTCGACGGCGTCGTTCGAAACCTGGTACGACGAGATGCCAATCTGGCCTTGATCATCGCCGCTGATTACACACGTTACAAAGTTGGATCCGTGTCGTCCAGTATCGCTCCACTTGGAAGGCCGGGGGTACCTTGCTTGGTACCGTGCTGCGAAGCAGATTTCTAAGGAGGAAAGGTAGTACGAGTCCATGTGACGCTTGCAGATGACGGAGCCGTCGCCCTTGTCCGCGTCGAGGAGATCAGTAAAGATCACCCCCACGCGTTGCAGCCCACACTGCGCGGCGATCTCGTCAATCTCCTTCTCGTTGTCCCATTCGCCTAGCGATATGCCATCCGCCTCGTTGACTTGGGGTGGCTCGTAGATGGTCTCGACAACAGCCTTTGTTCCCAGCGGCACCTCAGTATACTCCTCATACCTGCCGTACAAGAAGCCCAGTCGCTGACAGCCCGTTTGTCTCCAGAAGTTGATCACATCGTCCACCACCTGTATCGAAGCGAACTCGACGTGATCTACCATGCGGTACTCTTGTGGCTTCAGCGAGATGGCGCTAGGCATGCACTTGGTGCAGATACCCTCTGGGAATGGCTTGTGTCCCGATGGACAGTCGGGGCGTACGCGGTAGTAGGGTTCGGTCAGCGGTGGCATGTACGAGCTACCGAGCTCTGGCCTGTTCTTCGCCGAGTTGACTTTGCGGAGGTATGAATGGAAGGAGAGGTGCTTGATCTTCTTCTCGGCGAGGTACGCGGGCGAGTAGGGTTCGAGGGGCATACAGTAGTCGCACATGCCCTTGGGTCCGTGGGAACACATGCGGGCGTCGCGTTTCCTGGGGATTTTGCCATCCTGTCTGTCTAGCCTGTCGTCGAGCGGGGACTGCCTGACAACCTCCCATGGGTTCTTTATAGTTTGCAAAGCATCGCCGATGGGAACGGAGCCCATGTTGGTCTCTTCGACGGGTTTGCCATTCAGTCGTGCGCCGCCGGTCGAAGGTGCGGCATGGCCGTTCGGTGCCGCAGACTGCTCCTCGAAGGACAGGAAGAGTTGCGCGCCGTTTCTACAGTATCGTTAGCCGTGAAGACGAGATCAGGCAAGTTACATACGATAGTCCCACTTGCTTGAAGCTTACGCCCTCAAGGCCAGCGAGCTTCCTCGCGTCGCCTCCCTGCGGCTTGTTGCTAACACTGATGCTCTGGATGTCGACATTCTTGGGCAGCTTCTCGGCAACCTGGGGCAGAATCGACGAAAAGGTGTCCTCGGGCTGTACCGTCAACCGGAACTGGCCGTCTTTGCTAACGAACTGGTGCGAATTAGTAAGATATCACCTGCATTGGGCATAAAGACATACCCTCAATATCATGATCGGAGCGCTATGAATTTCGTGGTAGAGTGGATAAAGGTGATGCAGGTGGTAGGCTGTAGGGAGGAGGTTTGGGAGGGAAGCGCAACCGGAAGAAATAAGTAGACAAAGGCGAGGTGCAGTGGTGAACCTTGGTTGGTGTTGGTGATTGATTCGAGAAGGCGCCTGTAGCGGAGCGGACATGGATGACGCAGACGCGCTAGAAGGACGCTAGTCGAGCGCGGAACTGGACAGATATTCGCATGTATCGATAAGTGAGACAACAGCGACTTGCCCTCCCTCTTGGTCTTCACCTACCCCATATCTCACTACTGAGAACACCGTCGCCCCTTCATATTCTAACGTCGGGCGCCTCCATCGCATCGCGAGCTTGTCATACCTCTTCACATTCCGCGCAAACAAACCACACACAACCCACACAACATTCACCATGTGGCCCTTCGACATGGTCGACTGGGTAATGCTTACCGTGCCCATCGCTTACATCGGTATCCTCGCCGGATCGTTCACTGTCTTCACCAACCTCTACCGCAAGCGTCAAGCCGCCAACGCCGCATCCCTTGAACCCTGGTTCCCCACACATCTCCAACGCAATGTCTACCTCTCCCTGCTACACATGGACGAACCCAAGGTCCCGGACAGCGTACTTAAGGCTGCGCTATTGCGTCGCGCAACAGAGGACATACATAGGATTGTTCAGATAAGAAACGCCAAGCAGGCGCTGCAGGCATTGCTGCAGAGGGGTAGCGTGGGCGATGATCTGTGGCAGCGATTCCAGCGGGCAGAGAAGGAAATCGAGGAAGAACTCAGGGATGTCGTCAACGAGGTGAGTCCTGAGAATCTAGATTGAAGTCAATTCTTTGAGCATGACTGACATTGAGACAGGCCAATGCCTTCGCACCGAATTGGGGCCAGACCATCTTCCAATCCGCTTCGGAAATGGCACAGAACAACCACATCCGCGAGCGTCTCGGTGAGATCACAGCCAAGGCACCAGCGGAGAAGGAGTGGTGGGAGAACCGCAGGGCTGGCATCCAGTCCGAGTTCATGAAGGAGTTGGACGAGGAGAAGGCCAAGAGCGACGATGGTGTAATAGTGGAGAAGGCCAAGGCATGAGGAGTGCAAAGTCGTGATGATGCGCGCGTTTAGTTCTAGGGGTCGAACATGGGGTTACTGAAGATGTATAGGGCCATGGCCTTTGCAGCATTTGTGTAGCTATCCATTACGCCTGTGATATGTCTCAGTCGTTCAGTTTTGATGTATTCGGGGACACGGCGACTGAGACATCTGACAGGCATACTGGACAGCTACACATCAGTAGCTACGTGAGCGGATCAACATACTATGATCCTCGTTCGCAGCCGAATTAGTGGACTTGAGCAGATGATCAACCCTGTCAAACTTGTATCAACTTGTTCAAATGCTAAATTGCAGTGCTATAAACGCCATTATCCCATAGAGTACAAGCCCCATACTGCTAACTAACAAAGACTGTCTGTCGTACACCAGATATACAATGCTCGATCTTCCGTCTCCCTCTTATCTCCACCACTTCATACATCTAGCAACCCCTTACTTCCTTGTGGGACCGCTGACACCGGCACCGATAACACTGGGCAGCTCCTCGGCACCCATGCTGTAGAGCATACCAATACCAGCAGAGATCAAGAATGCCAGAGTGACACCGGCACCGGCAAAGAGCCAGAACTCAACCGAGATGTCCTTCTTCTGGCAGGCGGGGCCGCCCCAGTAGGTGACCTTCCTCTGGCCCTCCATACCCTTTCCGTCTTTGTGCTCGACCGTAGCGGCGCAGGCGCATCCATAGCAGTCAATTGTCTCCTGATCAGAACCGGATCCACGTCCCTTGTGGAGGAGCTTGCACTCGCCGTGGCTGGAGCAGTTGTGGGTCTGAGTCTCGCAAGCCGACATGGACTTGAAGCAGCTAGGAAGGATACCGCGAACAGGTCCCTTCTTGTTGTCGGCCGCAATGACGACGGGGAAGTCTTCAAGGTCAGGCACCTTGGAGACAGCAGGTACGGGCTGCGAGGAGAGGATTGCCTCGGGGTTCTGGCGGCGGGCCTCCTTGGAGGGGACATCGTAGGCGCCCCACGGTTGGGCAGCGCGCTTGGACTTGGACTTGGCTGAACGCGGCATCATGACGACAGTCGTGGAGAAACCCGTCTCCTCGGCCTTCTTGTTGACGCTGCTCAGCACCTGGGCAATCTGCTCGGTCGATAGGTCGTCTTTCGCGCCGGTGGTCCAGATGTTGAGGTAGCCATTGTAAGCGTCCGACTTCTCGTTCGGTGGGAGCGCCGACTCAATGTCGAAGTTGGACGTGTATGTCCGTTGCTGGGGGTCTGAGAGTGCCGGCAGCGACTTGGCTTGTGCTATGAAGTCCATGACCAGGCGCTCATTGTCTTCGATAGATGGCGCACTCGATATCGCAAAGTCGTGTGTGCGGTCTGATCCATCGTTGATGATGACTGAGAGCTCGGGTTAGTCGTATCCTTCGCGATGCTGTCGTCACGTATGCCCACCTGTTGCCTCATCTTGCTCGGCGCCCTCCACCCACATCAGCAGGTGCGCCTTGGATTGCTCTGCATCGTCTGCGCCGAACAGCTTCTGGTGCCTTCCTCCATACGTGTTGATGTGTCTGATTGTCTCGGCGTCGGGGTGCTCGACAGAGTGGAATCGCGATAGGCCCAGGCGCTGGGCAATGATCAGACGCGCAGTCTCGGGACTGACGGTGGGGCGAGCTGCAAGGACGGTGCAGTACAGCGATGAGGCGACAAAGGCGCCGGATAGCTTCATGGTGGCGGTGAGGATGGAGTTGAGGACGTTCCGCGATGATGCAGGTGCATCATCGCCATCCTGAGCTGCGCGGCGACCTAGACGGAACTAGCGCCGAACCTGCCTCACCTCCGCCCGCAACTATCAGTGATACAACCCGTGGGGCGCTATCAACCGCATTCCCTTGTTAACGCCGTACAGCTTCACGCGCATTCTTTGTTCTAGAAAGACCTAAATGTCTCTCTACTTGATCTTGCGTTCCTCATTCTCATAACACTCGCTTCCGCCTGCGCCAGACCAATGTCTACGCCACTGGTGCTTCGGCGCAACTTCTCCCTCTTGAACCGGATACCACATGCGCGTATAGTCCGATCGGCAGCACGAGATGGCCACGAGCGAGTCATAATACAACGAGTGCGTATAGGGCGACCATTCCTCAGCAGGTCGTGAGTCGCTTCACACATCCCCTGTACTTCCCACGTGCTAACTGTCCACAGACGATTAGTCGGTGCCGTCGCAGTCGGATTGGCCTTTTACGGAATCTCGAGATATATTAGCATAAGTGTTGAAGTTGAAGAGGTCAACGACGGCGGGTGGACAACGGTCGGCCGAGAAGCAGACGATGAAGACGAAGACGACGACGAAGAATACGACCCTATACTATTCATACCCACCGGCTTTTCCAGGCTACAGCCGAAGAGATTTTGGAAAGGGTCAGATCCAGAATGGCAACAGTTCAAGAAGCTGGCGACAGACCGTCCAAGGGTTGACAAGATACGAGGTACGATATCCTTAGCCGAGCATGTCGTTCATGTGCTGACAACGTGACAGGAGAATTAGTCTACAGAGTACGAAACGCTTTCGCCAAGCACCCAATTCTCGTCGCAAAAGCCGGCAAAATCGACACGAGCAAAGGCAAAGTGTGGATTGAGGTCAAGTTTCCAGACACCACGCCCGACGAATACGCACAGCCCGGGATAGAGCTGTTGGAGGATGGAACGTTGCGGAAGGCAATGAGACCAGTCGACAGCACTGTTCACCACCGCCTGAATCGGCTATTCTATCCCAAGGAGGCAGCAAAGGCCATATACAACAGCACAACGAGCAAACTAGGAAGCTCATGGAAAGGATTCAAAGTCTATATGGGCTGGAGTCCAGAATCGAAGACTGAGACCGTCCAGGAGCTCGTTCAAAGAATAAGCGCCAACCCGCGATCATCGGCGAACCCCGCGACGAGCGTCACTACAAGGCCTTTCTCCACGTCTGCGACACCTACCCAGCAGCCAGGTGCGTCGCCCTCTGTCGCACCTGTCGACGGCGCTACCAAGGACCTCGACCGCGTCACAATCGATCCCAAAAAGTTCACACTAGACCTGTCGCAATTCCAGGCCGACTTTCGCAGAACGTTCAAACCATACCCACACCCAGTTCCGCGCGGCGCCTTCGTAGTGATGGGCCTTGTCGAGGTCTATGGCGAGCGGGCCAAGATCACGGTCAGTGTGCACGCTGTGTACGACCCCAAACAAGGTCGCTACGTGGGCGTGAGTGCAGTGCCGTACAATTTTGTGGAATTCCGTCAGTCTCCAAAGGGCGGGCCGTAGATCCTGAATGATGGGATTTGAAGCGTTATACCCGGCGTCGAGGGCGTTTTGAGCGATTAGGTATCACGTCGTGTCATTCATTGTGTGGGTAGCGTCTGCTTGCGTTATGTGATCACGTTGAGCGGCATTTCTAGGTGTTTAGACTGCATTGAGAAGAGGACACAAATTTGGAAAATCGTCCACGACGTCTTTGCTTGTCTCAAACGTAGCATGGCATTTGCGTCTTTTTATTCACGTGTTCATCTGATCTCTGATTTCCGTCTATATAGATTCGATCTGTCGCTCCTCTCTTTTCACATTTCAACGCACAAACTTTCGACTTTTTCTACCAAAATGTCGTGCCCACTTTGCGATGAGCTGGTGCTTTCTTTCGAAAGCCAAGATCAAGACCTGGATGTCGCTCTGCCCGCCAACAACCTACTAAAAGTACATGATGCACATTCAAGGGTTTGTCTCGACCAGAGCTTCTTCGTAGCTCGTCTTCATCGAAAACCACCAGTCACAGTTCTCATGGCCTTGTTTCAAAGATCAACACCGCACGGATTCAGAAAGTTCAAAAACTGATGGCTGCCAGTTATGATACTCTCGCCTTGCTGCCCTTCTCCTCTTCTACACTCATGTTTTTCGCAAACACCAAAATCAGAATCGAACTGGCACATGAGAATATTGGAGAAGAAGTATCTTTGATTCAATCGCATGTCGAGAGAAGATTATGTCCTGCACATCTATTTTCAAAAACATGGTACAAAGAAACCATGTGTATCGCCTTCCCAAGGTCGGCTTTCAAAATTTCTAAAAGCTGCTGACAACATATGCAAGTGTCGAAAGATACACTTACTTCGCATTCATGAACTACTACAAAGCCGCCACACTTAGTACGATGCGCTCTTTGTCGCGACAGAGCTTAAAGTTCGAAAACAAGAGGGTAGTTGTACATGGAGTGAGTGCGGACTTGCTCTGCGCTTTACCAAAAGAGCATCATCCGGAAAACATGGTTGCGACGACTGAGACGTACCTCATGTACTAGATCGAGACGTAACTCATGTACTAGATCGACAAGGTGACAAGGCCGTGGACTGCTATGGCTGGTATAAAAGCTAACTGCTCCTGTTATTGTCCTCCTCTTTCATGCTTCAACATACCACTTGTTTGTTTTCTCAAAATCCAGAGCGGAAGCGGTCATGGAGTCGACTCCTGCTCCTCTTCCAAAAATACCATTCCTACATTGTCATGGAGTTCTGTCGCGCCTCCTCTCGTTCAACAAAAATAAATACTATAACGCCCAATAACTTTCCGGTGGCTGCCCGCCTTTCCAAATCGACAGTTGGATTGGAAACCATCGGCCTACCAGGATGGCCAGGGCTACTTTCCTCTTCAAAAACCGAGTGACTAGACCATGGTTCGACTTCGTCTGGTTGTGCGCTACGGGAGTGTCTATATAAACCCTCTTCCGTCGACCTTTTACTCCTCTTCCAATCCACTATTACTCTATCGCGGGAACAAAAAGACAATCAACAAGATGCTATGTGCTGCTTGTGTGCTGCTTCTGTGTTTTCTGTCTATCAAAAAGTGGAATCCAAAGTTTCATGTCTTTCCCCCCTCCTTCCTGGATATCGAAAACAAGATCTATGTCTATCATGAGCCTTCCAAGGTTTCTCTGAAATTTTCGCAAAATCAGTACATGACTGCGATCAAATTCCTGCAATAACACTTCACACAATTGAAGAGCTCCGCAATTCAAGACCAGTAGGTGGTTTTCCATATTTGGTGCTCTTAGCGGGAGTCCACAACAAAAAAGACAGTTGCTTTCCTCCCTTCCAGCGACTTTCAACTCTACCGCCTTCTTTCTCTTTCCAAAACGGAGTGCTGGCAGAGACATGAGAAGAACCTGAGCGCACAGCTCTACTTACACTTTTACTATTACCGACAAATGTTGGCGGAGCGCTTTGCTGGCCGGATTCTACTACTCAAACATTCGCTACGACACAGCTATGACCGCTGTTTGGTGTTCTGCTCTAAAGATTATTACAGCTCTTGTATGCCGCCGTAGAAGCATTCATCCGGGCTATTACGGCTTTTCGGCAGCTGGAAGTTCTATGTGGACGCTATATGAGCCAAGAAAGAGCCAAAACGGGGTGTAAATATCCCCTCTTTGCTTGCTACAACTCTTCTCTTTTTACAACATCCGGTCACAACAGCAAAAGTGACTTTCTTCCAAAACAATACCATCACGTTCCAATGTGGTATTTTCTCTGAAATCGACTCCTCTACTACGTATGTCTTGCCGTCCTTCCGCCTCTTCCTAAAATCGAATGTGTCGATTTGATGTGTTGCCTCCACCAGCGGGGTTTACCATTCTACAACACTCTCAAATACCGAATCCAGACGATATCTTGTTCTCCATGTTTAGTACTATGTTATCTCGGGGTATTTCCAAACACCCCTGCAAAGATTACATGAGAATTACAGGCAACGCAAGATACATTCCACGCGGCGGCTCGCAGGCTTTCAGTACAAAAGATCCCTCATCACCGTCTTCCGTTGCTTCTCTATTTCAGCGGTGCTTGCGATCATCGAAAGATACAGGCACAATGTTTATGTGCGAGCTGTCCAACAAGAAAAAGAGATGGAAACCGATTATGAAATGTTTCGGCCAAGTTCACAGACAATGCCTCAAAATAAGACTCGTGTCTCTATTACACTAAGATCAAAGTCCGTATGTCTTAACTTCGGTGACGTAGTTGCTTGGGCGAAATGGCGTATGTATAGATAGCATGAGAGCGTGCGAGTATAGAACGACTGTAGCGAAGGAGTACAAAGCCTTCTCTCCACTCTTCGCCCTCTGCGTTGTCTATACCTCAATCTTGACCTCGCTTTCTCCAAAATCCGCGACATTCGCTTAATGTGAGAACCGAGTCTGCATTTCGCTAGCAAGCTAGCAAGAAACGCGCGCCAGTTCCAGCCCGCATGTTCCACCGCATATCCAAAAACCATGTAGGTGTTTTTGATCTCGATGCAACACACGCACATCAGTGACATGCAGTCCCCAAAGCATTATTACGAGAATGCCTTGCGCGAAAGCGAGCCTCATTTTGTAAGGGTCGTCTTCTTGCCAAATTGATGTTCTCCTGCCAATACTTGTCAAAACTTTATCCCATGTTCATCGGCGACGACGTTAAAGCCGATGGTTATTAATAGTCTTCCGTTTATCGACTCATGTCCATCCATGTCTATAGCCACGTATTGAGACTTTTCAAGAACATAGACTGTATAGGGAGAGCCGACGCATCGACTATCACGATGCCACCGGAAGGTTTTCGTATCGACCGTTGTCAAGACAGGAGCAAAGTCCGCATCATGGCCTTCTCCGCATCGCGCACAGTCTCCTTCAATGATTCATGCCAGCCTCGCCGTTGTCAATAATAGCAAGATTGCGATGGAGTTGCCCCTTGGCAGCAACACGAGTTCGTACAGCTATTAGCAGAATCTGTGCTTCCTCTGTGCTTTCTCCGCGTGTAGTGCTTTTTTCTTATCAACGAGCCACATCAAGGTCAAAGCCACGGACTCCACAGGGAGGTGGCTGATAAAAGCAGTGTTCAAGCGAGTGATGATGCTTTTCTCAACCGATGCGCATGCATCAATGTACCCAAGTGGTAACCAGCAACATGACGTAAGTACGATAGGCTTGGACGGGTGGTCAAACGCAAAGCGTCGAGGTACGAGGATGTCGGGCCGTGAAAGTGCCGCGCGGTCAACGGCGGCGTCGCAAAATACGAACTGCTCGGTACTCCTGCTGAAAGCATGTGCAGCGAGGTAATGCGGCCAACTTGCAACGTTTTCATTCCATCTTTCCGTTCGCGGGCGGGGAACTGCTGTCGCGCCTGCTACTGCAATGCAGTCGTTCACGCTAGAACTCAACGAACGGCAATTCCTTCACCCGATGCTTGCACTGCGCGTGCGTTAGCGCAGCGTAGTCGCTTGGTTACAACCGACATTTACGTATGGTAGTAAAATGTCTGCTCCGTGTATGCTGATACGTGGGAACTGTCGGATGTGAATCTGATTTTCTCAAGATTGCCGAGGCCGTTCATGTAATGCAAGTGCCAGGTTTTCCTCTTACCACGGTACTCGAGCCCGGCACGAAGGGCCCAGGTCTTCCTTCAGACATGCTTAGGTCCCAGACGTCTCTTTCTATCACAGCAACCGACAGTACTCGGCATCTTGCTGCGGGAAACATAATTTTCAACACGCGAGTGGAACGTCGTACGTGCTGTGAGCGCTCGAAAGCGGGGATGAGGCAGAGTTTTGCGTACAACCTATGATCGGTGACGGAGTGGAGAACTGTCAAAGTCTGTTCTGTAGAGGCTGACAGAATTTTGTGGACTGCAGCCCAAATGCTAGATTTCAGAGTGCGGACCGGCATCGCGCTGACATGTGAGAGAATGAAGCGACTTGGTTGTAAAAGGGTCTCGATCGTTACCAGTCGTCAAGTGTCATCCACCTCGGCGTTCAGAGGCCACAGTAGAAAGCCGTGGAGTATCAGCCGTGTTGGGAGCGCCACGTGAAAATGTCAAAAGCACGCGAGGCGTCGACGCCGTCGCCTGCGGCACCGCCTGAAGATGCCGCCGGATGGACAGCAGGCGTTCCTGGTGGTTGACGGAAGATTGCGGCTCGGTACGGGCCCATGGCATTTCTAGGCTTGTCTCATGGCCATGATTGGTGGGCGCATCCAAATTATGAGAAAGTCAGAAAAGCAATACTTTGTTTACTTTCTGTTTCGGAGGTCCTTGCTGCACAACAGAGCTCAATGCGCGCAGCACTGTCGTCGCAACCTGCGATGAATCATGACGCACCTCGTATCGTCTCGATTCGCATGACAGCATTACACGTTGTCGTTGGTGATTTGTGCATGGATGGACTCGAAATGGTGAGGATCTGCGCGGGACGTTTTTGATGTCGGGCGACGCCTGCCTCAATCTGCTTAGCGCGCTCCACCCCAAGTCAGTCCGCAGTCCAGAACAATGCCTCGTCCGGTCACCAAAAACTTGTTCCTGTTTGTTCCTGCGCTGTTCCTGAAGAGACAGCTAGCCTAGACATGGATGCTGCGTTAGGTCCCCCAACGTCGCTCCCCAAGCCCACTACCACGCAAGATCTTCTCGTGCATATGCCGCGAAAACCAACGTGGCTCCAGCGACCCGGCGAGCGACGATCAGTCGTCAGCATCGTGATTTGACGGCTACCCGACGTGTAATTTCCACATCAAGCTTGGCCCCTACAGCCCTACCAAGATTGACGAATGGTCAAACCCCACAACCGGCGCCGTCAGACCGGGCTTGCGGGAGATGGTCTTATCGCACGTGGATTTTCGGAGTTGGCAGTAGGCTTGGGTGAAACACTGCAGGAAAGGCCGAGAAGGCTACGCCATGCGCTGTCTCGCACAGGCGGTGGGCCACAGCTGTTAGTTCCGTTCACTGTGGGCGCTTCCTAATTTCCGTAAATATAAGTAAGTCGAGGAAGGCACCATGAAGCGGTATCTCACTCCTTTGAAGATCCAACTCAACCACGCTCTCTAGCAACCCCACAGTCATTCCTTGATCAACTGATCTGTCATTCATTCATTCATTATGCTTACCTCTACCTTCATTTTGGCCCTTGCTGGCCTCTCCTCCATGATCGAGGCATCTCCTCTTCAGGCACGTGGTGGAAGCAAGCGTGGTCTTGCCTTCCCCAAGAACCACAACGGTGTTTCTGGATCCCAGTGGACTCACAAGTTCGCCGGCTCCAAGGTCTCCTGGATGTACGACTGGGAGGCAGTCATCGACGGAACACCCCTCGACCTTGAATACGTCCCCCTTCTCCACTCCAACCAGCAGTGGTGCACTGAGGGCTGGAACACCAACATTGCCAATGCCAAGAAGAACTACAAGGTTTCGCACGTCTTGAGCTTCAACGAGCCCGACCAGGCCGGTGGTGGAGGTTCCAACATCGACGTCGCCACTGCTGCCGCAACCCACAAGAAGTTCATTCAGCCCCTCGCCGCCCAGGGTCTCCGCATCGGCTCTCCTTCCGTCACCAACGCCGACGAGCCCAACAAGGGAATAAACTACCTCAAGCAATTCATGTCTGCCTGCAACGGCTGCCAGATCGACTTTGTCGTCGCCCACTACTACGCCTGGGACAACGCTCAAGACTTCAAGAACTACCTCACCAAGTTCCACAAGACCTTCAACAAGCCCGTCTGGGTTACCGAATTTGGTGTCACTTCTGGCAACGCCGACGAGTTCCTTAAGCAGGTCCTTCCCTGGATGGATGCTCAGCCCTGGATCGAGCGTTACGCTTACCACATGGTCGCACCTAGCACCGACCAAAAGTACCTCATCTCTGCTGATGGCCAGAGCCTGTCTAGCATTGGCAAGATCTTCGCCACTGCTTAGGAGTTCGCTGTCTTGATAGACGCATCACGAGTTACGACCTTTTTACCTTTTACCTTCTTGATACCACGTTACCTTCTTGTCCATAGACTTTGTCGAGACTTCGGTCTATACCTCAAATTATCATTCATTTACTATCAAACTTATTCAATTGTAATATGTGTGAAGGCTATACATTAAGGGATTAATTTCTGTACTGATATCTACTACCGTCGACAGCTCTACCATCCAGCTCTGCTACATTATACCGGGTTTCGGGAAGTTCATGAGCGGCTACTGGCAGCTCACTATATGTCGGTAATTTTACATCTGCTGTTTGCGACTCTGGTTCTTGTGCCACCTCCGTTGCAGTGCTGGTTGATCGCCGTCTACGATACAAAAAGAAGCCAATGGCCCCTAGCAAGACAACACCGCCCACTGCACCAGCAGCTATGCCGCCCATCGCGCCACCTGATAATTTCGACGTTTCTTTTTGTGGCGGGGGTGTGGCGGAAGACGTGGGCAAGGATGTAGCGCTAGGCGAGCCCCCCTTAGAGTTCGCGCAGAACTCGCTGACCATGTTGTTTTGCTTATCCACTGCGACGATGTCGGAAGTCTTCGATCCGGTGTTTGCTTGCCAGATGGAGAACATCCCAGCATCTTGATTGACCATTAGGTAGGCAGAGCTCATGAATAGGCGGCCCAGGACTGGTAGATCGTTGTCGTTCTCGAATTGCAGAGAGTTGATCACGACGTTGCGGACCGATGTGTTCGTCTGAACCGCGCCATCGGAGGCGATATATGTATCGGGAACGACTAGTTCGGTGTTGGGGATCTTTACGGAGACGCTGTTTTGGAGTTGGATCGTTAGACCACCGTAGTAACTACACCATGAGCGTTAGCTACCTATCTTTGGGAAAGAGTTGCCATTACACCTACACGTTGTTTGGCTCAAAGAGCATCGTGAAGTAGTTGATGCCGAGGCTTCTCGCCTCCGTCTTGTCATCTGGTGGCGTTCCACCTGCGAGCGACCAAAAGTTGTTGTAGTAGCTCAGTGGAAGAGACATCAGCCCTGCAAAGCTGGGACTGATGCATGCTTGCATAGCCGCTGATTGTGAACCCATGAAGACGCTCATATCGGTACCATTGGGCCAGTTGAGAAGGATGTCGCCAATGGTCACCACCATACCCGTTCCACACTTACCGCCATGGTATAGCGGGGCCGTGAAGTTGTCGTTTTCATCCGCGATCAATGATCTGTCCAAGCCACCGAGAATCAGCGAGCCCCGAGTCTGCTTCTCCGCAGGGCCACCGACCAGCCCCCAAAACATTGAGTATGCCTTCGTGCCTATATCACCGGCGGATATGAGTGCGTTCAGGAAGGACGAGTTGCTGCCTAGTCCAAGTTGAGACTGGCTGGTGAAAGCTTGATTGAGATCTTGTTCCGGAACGCCGAATCCGAATGTAGAAAGCGTGGTGTTGTCGCCAAAGCTGAGAGTGTCTTCTGTCCAGTCGGCCTTGAAGCCATCGCTGTCTTTTCGATCGCCGATTGACTTGTCCGTAGAAGATTCTGATGCATCATATGCGCCGCCACGGAATGTCACGCATGCTCTAGATGAGTAGGCCTTTGTACAAAGTCCATCGGTTCCGTAGATGTAGGTTTCGTTGTAATCGCTATCGATTACCAGTTAGCTATGGGGAATTCTTAAGCTGAGTGATGCAATTAGACTTACCCGCTGGCGAAGAATGAGATGTTCTGGTCATTAGAACCGACTGTCATGGAGATCCCTCTCACGGAGGCCCCGTTGGGTAAAGACACATTCTGGATGGGTGCGACAATAGGCTGTGGCTGACACTGGCTTTTCGCAAAGATCGCAAAGTGTAGAATCCCTAGAAATAACGGGAACAGGCCTACTGGGAGACCCATTGCAACGTTTGGTGTTGCAAATTCGGAAGTGACGACGTACGGGAGGACTGGAAAGCTGAAAACCGCGGGAGTAGAGGAACCGCAAGGCTGTAAGGTACTTTCAGGCGGTAGCGCTTAAATGAGTCGTGTAGCATATCTGACCGAATTTGGTGTTGTACTACGCTCAGTTCATGCCCTGCTGCATCGCAATCACATGGGGTTAGCGTACATGTACGTGCAAATTCACCAACCAGCGCGCGCCGCTTAGCGCCGATAGCATAACCGCGCGCAACTCCTTGTACGTGTCTTGATACTAAAGGAGCTGTGCCGCAATGTCGCATCGATGGATTGCCAGCTGCGACGGAAGATTCCATTTTCTGTCGCATTTCACGATACCTCTGAGCGTGTGCTTCAGACTGCACGGCGCAGTTGCTTTCACGATCCGGTAACCGGCGATCTTTCTACGCGCTCGATATCGCCTGTGCACGCGCTCACAATACTATTTCCCGAACAACTTCTTGGAATCAGCTGTCGCATGCCCGATCTCACTACCTCTCGTGCACTCGACCCACTTGCCATCAAGCGATGATGCGTTCCCGTAGACAAATCGAGTTTTTGGTGTTGGCAGTGTTTCTGCTCTGCTCCTGGTATCTCTTTGACGCCCATTTCAATGTCGCCGAAAGAGGACCGGCCGAGTCCAGCGTTGATGAAAAGCCATGGCGATATGAGGCAACGGAAGCAGAAGAAAAGCAAGAGATATTTGAGCAAGAGAATGCGAATGCTGGCGCGAAAGAGAAAATGCCATCGACTTCCACCACCTCTCAACATATAAGCACATCGACGCAAAGTACTGCTGTCGCGACGCCTACCCCATCCCTACCCGATCGCGTCGTGGTGATGGCAAAGCTTCCAACCGACGACACAGATTGGGTGCAAACCGATCTACCAGACTGGCAAGCAGCCATTTACGACATCGACACTGAAACTCCGCACAACATATCGACCCTGGATCCGATGACTAACAGCACTCTACGCACCCTCCGGAACAAAGGGATGGAAGCAAATGCGTACCTCGCATACATCGTGCAGAATTACAACAACCTACCCTCAACAATTGCGTTCATTCATCCACACAAGGACGGCTATCCGATTGCATGGCATACCGACAACCAAGAGCATTCCAACGTCGTCTCTCTGCAAAGTCTCAACATCAATTTTATCCAGAGCAACGGCTACGCGAATCTGCGTTGCGTCAACGATCCCGGCTGTCCGCACGAAGTGATGCCTTTCCGAGATCCGCCTGAGGAGCATCGAACGATCGAGGCAGCGATGCCGGACGCGTGGCGAGAGTTGTTCAACAACACGGGTGTACCACATATACTGGCGACGCCTTGCTGCGCGCAGTTCGCCGTGTCGAGCGAGCAGGTACGAAAGCGGTCGTTGGACGAGTACCAAAGGTATTACACGTGGTTGATGGAAACTCCGCTGAAGGACGAGACAAGCGGGAGGGTGTTCGAGTACCTTTGGCACATTCTGTTTGGGCAGGAGCCCGTTTAGTAAGTACTGAATCGATCGAAGTCGCGTTGCGCCGCTGCTAACGTGAACCAGCTGTCCCGCATATGAGAAGTGCTATTGCGACGTGTATAACAGATGTTGAACACACACCTTCCCGTGGGTAGAGCAAGAAGAAGTTAATTTGACGTGGGATCTCTGGCGGGCGGAGTTCTTCGTTCGGCTATCGCAGTCGCGTCGCCGAACCTGCCCGAAGATCCCCCACACCAGCTGTCTAGACTGAAGATCACGATACCAACATGAGCCGCGACATCTCTAGTCGAGTTGCTGATACAGCGCTCTGTGCAAAAATAAACACTCAAGCCGACGCCGTGACAGCCTCACGCCCCGGCATGGAGCGCCGTTCCCTTCCCTGCCATGGGCCAAAAAAAATGGCAAAAACATACAACAGCGCGTATTCCTTGGTGGTTACCTACCCGAGTACTAATGCGCCGGTATTATGCTTGTATATAGCTAAGCGGACAGGAAGCCTAATTTTTATAATTCTATAGTTGTATGTAAAAGAATAGGTGGTTTAGCGTATAATATAGCTATTGCAACCCTAGGACTTAGATTTGTCTACTTTGTTGCTGCGCTCTTAGAATAATAATATTTGTTCTCTATTACTAATTAAGGTACCTAAACTAAATATAACTAATTACCTAATACTTATAACTAAATTCTCTAACTTATCTTACTACTTTATAGAGCGCCTTTTATAATTTATATAACCTTAATTAGTAAGTCTATATTAGAGTTCTTCTATATATTTTTAATAAATTTCTAGTCTTATTTATTTAAATTTTCTATTACTATATTATTTTTTACTATAGTAGAAAGTTATTAAAAGTAAAAGTATTAAAAAGAGAAGTAATATTAATGTTTACGCTATAAAGTAGTAATTACTAGCTACTAAATATTAAGTATATTTAGTTTAGTAATCTTAACTTACTAATTAGTTAGTAGACTATCTACTCTAATACTATCTAAAAGGCGTTACTCTTATAGAAGATAAAAGTAGTAATTTTATAAAAGCTTAAGAACTTTAGATATACTTACTATAAGTAATAGGTTATCTAGGTTTTCTTATATTTACGTAATAGTAAGCTTTATAAAAGTAGATAAGCTACTAAGAAAGAGAAGAATATTACTTATAATTATATATTTAGTATTAGAGAATATTATAAAGAGTTTAAGTTAAAGACTAAGTTTAATAAAGAAGCGTTAGTTAATAAGAAAGAAAAGAATAAATAGAGAAAAAGAGAGCTATATAAGTAAATATTCTTATAAGAGAATTTATATTATTTTAAAATTATAATACTTAGTTACTTTATTATAATAGTAAGCTATAGTTATTTATTATAAGTTCTATAGTTATATATAAGGTATTATTATTACTTAATTACTATAAAAAGAGCTACTTTACTAAGTAATTCTTAGGTGCTAAGCTATAAGGCTTAGTTTAAGCTTCTCTATACTACTAAGAATATATTATAAATACTTTTATTTTATAACTTTTTTTAATACTAGTAGAGGGCTATACTAGACTTAGATACCTTTTTAATAATACCTACTAGCTTATATATTTATCTTAATGCAACCCTAGGACACAGCAAGCTAATGGAAACAAGCTTAGCCAGGTCACCGGCTAAATGTTGTGCTATTGACAAAAGCGCGAATTTTGGTAAGGGTCAGACCTGACTTAGGACGCAATAAGATCTGTAGGTGTGTGTCGCAGGCTAAACGCTGTTGGAAACGTTCCAAGGTTGTTATTAATAACCTCGTGCGATGACCTTTGAATAAGCTCAACTACGAGGTAACAAACAACACAATACACACGCTCTATTTCAGCTATTCTGTCTACAATACCCGCACCCGACCGTGCGACACATGTACGACGGGACATCCTAGAAATCAAACTACCTAGGTAGCTCTGCCTCAATAACACTTTCTACAGAGTGACGTGGTCTCCATATCTTGAGCACCTTCAATCCTGAACTCTCCACCAGCGCTCGCCACTCAGCCTCCGTTCTCTCCTTCGCACCAAGGCACGCCATCATGGTGATATCGGACGTTGTCACGCGAGCGAGCGGCTTCACAGAACTAACCAAGCTTTCGTGAATGAGAAGCTTCGAATATCCGGGTTCCATAGCTTCGGCAAGGTGAGAGAGGATCTGCTTCGCCTTTGTGTCTTCCCAGTCGTGCAGCACGTTGTGCATGAAGTAGGCACGGGCACCTTTTACTGGCTGTGGTTTAAAAAAGTCATGAGGGTGGATAGAGATGGTGTCGTCAATAGTCAACTCCTTGAGAATATCGGGCAGGTCTTGGAGCACCAGACTGCGCTCAGGGATATCAGGGTGGCGCAGATGGAATTTGATCAGGTCGTGGCCCTTGCTACCACCAACATCGACGACAAGTGGCCGGTCAGGCTTGGACTCTTTCACAAGAGTCTCAGTTGGGTAAACATCAACCCAGGGCGTCAAGTTATGCTTGGAGTGACTCTCCATGGCATCATTAAATTCCCTTGCGGCGGCAGGGTTCGCGCCAAGGGACTGGAATAGATTCTCGTCTGAGCCCCTCATGAACTGCCAGTTGCAGTCGTTGGGGTTAGTAGGGACCTTGTATCCCGTCTTCTTGAGGTAGGCTGGCAAAGTCCTGAACATGGGGGAATTGACGAAGCCATAAAATTCACCATAGACGTTGGCGAGGGCCTGATCCTCGGCGAGAGCGCGTACCCACGGTGTAGGCTTATAGGTATCCTCGGCGGTCTCGATGACAAGATTCTGCCCAGAAATCTGCCGAATCATGCGTCCTGCATTGCCGTCAGAATGCTCCTCAAGAGTTAAGCAGAACGGATATGTAACCTACGGATAAGTACTACATCGACACCCGTTAACTCAGCCAGCTCCGCGCAAGTTTTCTCTCCGCCTCCGGTCTCGATCCATTTGCTGAAGACACCCGCGTCAATCAACGTCTTGACGCATGCATTGGTGGCCGGATTGACCCAGCAGTGCTGCCAAACAATGTCCCACGGCTTCTGTACTTTGCTCAATGCCAGGGTCAGCGCGTCCATGGCACGGACGCGCTCTGCTTCGCTAACGAAGGAGTTCGCGTCGAGGCCCTCCAGGGCTCCGATAAGTTGGTCTGCTGATGCCATGTTGAAAATAGGAATTATTTTTTGGGAAAAGATGCAGGAACAACGCGAACGATACGCCGTCTACTATTTGACAAAGAGTAATGTTGTTATCTACCGTAAATCGCGGCCATATCTCCCGGCCGACTGGAGGTTTCCACATACTATAGTAGTTAGTAAATTTCTTGTAACAGATAAGCGCGTACTAAGATCCATTCTTCCTATGTACTTTTCCTGATACGTAAGCTGACTTGAACGACACGTGATGTGGCCGAACTTCTACGGAGTAATTAGTCCCGGGTTCCATCTAACAAGCCGCACGATTTGATGGAATGCGGGTTGAAGTGGTTAGCACTGATCAGTTGAGGACACGGTATCCGAGGTTTGAGTGAGCAAGGATGTCTCAGGGGCGGACCCACCCGTTGGGCCCCCAACTTCTCACGCCATCCTTGGCAGGTAGCGCGTGGCATGCAGCCCCTCGAACTCGTTCGAACGACCTTGACAAGACCTCGCTATTGTAGCAGTCGAACTTTGGTATTGCTGAAGAGTATGTATTGCGTTTCACAGTTCCTCGCCTCAATAACATTGCCTCAACAACATCAAAGCTTGCCCAATCAGATCATCACCACGACCCTGCTGCCCGATCGCGCGCGTAGATGCTTGAAGGAAGTACTGACCCCCACACTGATACCAAGCTACTTGTCACGATCGTCAATTGGCTTCGCCCATCGGTCGCCCTTTGCACTCGTCGTCACGTTAAACTCAAGCGTCTTGTGGATCTGGTCCGCGCCGTGGTAAACGAGCGGGATGTCATCGATGCTTTCACCGGTGTGGGTCGATGTCCTCTCCACGTCATCCAACTGATGCCTTAGAAGTTTTTCCCATCTTCCGCTGGTGCTGGATAGCCCTCCGTGGGTGGCGCTGCTGCGTCGTCCCTGGCTGGTGGTCCTACTGCCATTACCACTGCCACTGAGAGTCCGAACCTTGCCTCTGACCGAGCGGAAGAGCGGGCCCAGTGTGGGCAAAGAGGAGCATACGACGAGAATACAACCCTCTCCTAGACCGAGTATATCGAGAAGCGGTACCGGGTCTAACAGAGTTAGTTCCATGCTGAGAAATATGTGGGATGAACAACTCACAAGTAGGGTTCTCAGCCAGTACTACGAAAATTTCTCCAAAGATTGTGAGTTTGTAGATGGTGAGGATGAAGGCCAGGATAGTGAGGCCCAGCGCGATCGAGACCAGGATGCGGTTCTTGAGTGGCATGTTGAGGCGCATAATGAATGGAATCGGGTACACAGCGAAGAACACATCTAGGAAGGCAGAGTAGGCCGAAGTGAAGTAGCCCAAATCTGACATGACCTTGGTACTGGCACATGTTCCACCCGGTATGGTTCTGTTCCAGCCGAATTCGACCGGGTCGCATTGCTTGTACCACCAGATCGAGGTAGCCAATATGCAGGCCTGGGAGCTGAGCGCGAGGCCCCAGAATAGTATCGTAGTTTTGAGGCCGTAGTCCAGAATGCGCTTGAGAATAGCGATGATGGCAAACTTGGGTAGCGAAAACGTCCATATCAGTACCGAACTGATGATTACATTCCACTTGAGGGCTCGCGGTATCAATGGGGGATCGATAGCCTCCATTCTTCGTCCAAGACCGTACTGTGTGCCGATCGAGATCAGGATGCAGGTGACGAGCATCACAACGACACAGAACACGGTGATGTAGTCGTCCATTCCAAGGCCACCGCCTTTGCTGGACATGCGAGTGCCGACTCTCAACGCCACGAACACTGCAAGACAGTTAGCTGCCATTCGGCGCAACATAAGAGGGCTACTCGCCAGCTGTGACTGCGAACATAGACCAGCAAGCCCTATCAGCGATAGTGCCATAGTCTTCCACGTCCCACAGTCCCATGGTGTTGACGATTGGTGTTGCAAAGGTTTGCGGAACGTTAGACGCTCCTGGTGTGATAAAGTGGGCTCATTGTTAGATACACTGCCGTCGGATGCGTAACATGCCGCGTAGGATTGCGCGTAGGATGCGTTCCATGTAACAGCCAGAATCCTTCGCCGGCCCCATGAAGTATCGATTTTCGTCACACAGTTGGCATGTGTTATTTAAATTGCCAATGCATACCGTGTACAGAGGATCGACATGTGATCGGAAACTCCTACAGGGGAAAATAGCAGGAAAATCATCTCGTACGGCATAATGACGGAAGTTGTTGAATGACTCAAGCGAATCAAAACACACCGATCGCCCTGCCTTCTGAAAAGGTCAAAGGATTCCTACCCCAGGAGTTCCCGAAGTCCTGGCGAGACTCCGTATCAGCCCTGCGGTTCATGACTCATTTAACCGACATTCAGCTCTCTCCCAGAAATATAGCAACATGTGACACATTCGACACAAACACCCAAGTACCGCATGTGAAAGAAAGAGCATTTCGACATATCGTATAGTCAGCTGTCCGCCAAGAGGAAGCCAAAGTATGGAAACTAGCTCTGCCAAGCTAACGGCTACTGTATGAAGTTATATGCTACATTCAAGCGATCAGGTTCAACAGAGAAGATGAATGATACAATACGGTGAGTCAGTGGCGTCAGCTCAGGCACAAGTTGGTACATTGGGTACATGGGCTTGGAACTCATGGGACAGTAGTTGATTGCTTCAATATACATTCGAGACGTTACCTCTTTCAATAGGCGTAGAACATCGTAGTCTCAGAGTTCGAGCTCTTAATCCTCCTGTTCTCCCGCACCAACCACCAGCGCATGAACCATGCGCCAGCCGCACACATGAGTGCCATACCAGCACTCATAGCCAAGGGCAAGACGAACCGCGGCTCTGACCACTCTGGCCAGATGTACTGTTCAACATTAGTTAACATATCCAGGCGATCAAGATGCGAGACTTACGGGAGTCCAGATCAAGCTGAGTGTAGCTGCGACGTTGGCAATAGCCAGCGCCGCAGATTTCTTCTCCCTCGTTTGTCCACAGGTTGAGGACACCCATCCGAGGATGATGCTGTTGACGCCATACGTGCCGATGGTAAAGACGCACATGGCGAAGTACCTCGCGCCTACGTTCATAGTCGCGCAGCCGAGCACGAAGCCAAAGACAGCCACGCCTTTGGCAATGGTGATATGCCAGGTGCGTTCGTTGAAATGGCCGGATGATATGGCCCATGCGACGGAGAATGCGCCCGCAATCAAGTAAGGTGGGCACGTCAATACAAGTGTGACTTCCTGAGAGAAGCCTAGTGTGTTGACGATCGTCGGCATGAAGTTCTTGAAACCATTCGTGGCGATATGACGACGGGAACGTCAGTGACGGGAACGGTAGCGGAACCGATAGAACTTACAGGTGTTGCATGTAGACGAATACCCAAACTTTAGGGTCTCGGATAGCTTCTTTTAGGCCTGCGAGCATGGAAACGTCGGCGGAGTGGCCGACTGTATCTCGCGCAACCCGGGCGTGCGCAAGTTGGCGTTCTTCGGGGTTGAGCCACCATGTAGTTAAAGGCTCGTCAGGGAGGGTAAAGCAGGCGACTACGGCGATGATAAAGGTGACGACGCCCTGTATGATGAACAACCAACGCCATCCGCTTGACATGAGGTCAGTATTTGTTGCACAAGAACTATGTGGAGATCATACCTGATACCACGGACACCATCGAGCTTGAAGACGCCAAGCGCAATGAGTCCAGCGAACGACGACGCGAGAATGTTGCCAGAGTAGAGAATGCTGATGCGCGTCGCAATCTCCTTTCTCGTGTAGAAGATGCTTAAGAGATAGAGCGCTCCTGGGTAGTATGGTGCCTCGACCACACCCAGAAAGAAACGTACAAGTACGATGCCTGTGTAGTTGTGAACGATAGCGGTAAGCCCGCTTACAACCGCCCAGCCCATCATACAGATTCCCATGTACCACGAAGGTTTGACGCGTGTAATAATCATGTTGCTCGGTATTTGCCCTAGGATGTACCCGACGAAAAGAATAGAGATAGCAGTGCTGTATTGGTTGCTGGTGAGTCCAAGGTCGTCTTGGAAACCATTGAGGCGTGCGAGGGTAATGGCGTTGCGGTCTAGGTAGTTGAGCCAGTACATCAACCAAAGCATGGGCTGGATCGGGTAATTAGTCAAAATTTGGGAGATATGGCAATATTTGACTGACCATAATCCAGATGTCCAGCTTCCTCACGAGCTTCTTCTCCTCGGGGCTCGTCTTGGCCACGGCCCCAGAGTAATCACCTTTGACCTCGACTTTCTCATACTCCATATGCTGGCTCTGGAACTTTTCATCGATGGGGTCCACGGTGTGACCTGGCATGGGAGATCCTACACCCTGCACGGGCTCAGATTGTGGTGCGGCCATGGTATCGTCGACAGGGTCTGTCAGCGTCAAGGGTAGGGCAAGAACCCAGGCTAAAGGCACTGCGAAAAAGATGCATGGCCCTATTGACGGGACAGTGATTTATATCGAATCTCGTTCATTTACCCCGCGCATCGAACACTAGTCCTTCTCCCCATGGGGTCGCCCCGGATAATGGCGTCCTCGCACCAGATATCGACATGAAAGTCAGGCTTGGGGCGCTAAAATCCCAACTTTGGTAGTCCCGCTCCGAAGCGCTGACTCGCAGTGGCGGGTCACCACCCCTCGGCGACGCCGCCCCGAGCAAGACTACCGGTGGACTGCTTGGCAACGACGCCGCTCGGCGTGCCCACGCCGAAAGATGCAAATGTAACTATTCCAGAGCGACCGCATCTTCCGTGAGCCGCAAGCGTAACAGATGTGTGGTGATTGTGGCGCCGACAGTTCCAGTCAATTGATTGTGGCCAATTTCCGGCACACTCGAAACTGTCGATTGCTTCACCCCGCGCAAAAGCGGGCAGCCTCATACGAAGCCAGCTTTGGCAACGGTGGAAGCATGCTAACATCAAAAATGCGTATCCATTGTCATGTCGTTGAGCGGAGGTTCCATACCACCGTACAAGTCGAAGCTGTCGAACCACGCCTGAGAGAACCGATACACGGACATGTCGACTTGTTGTTGATCGTACATTTGTCGTAGATCATACGCAGAGCCCTTGAATTCATTTTCGATCGCCAGTGGGGATGCATTAGACACCATTCCATCGGTTCCGACAGGCTGAAGGTATTGTGGGTGCATCCAGTGAGGCTGGCCCAACCCATTCGAGTCTGCATCCGCCGCCAGCTCCGACCGGTTGCTGCACTGGTGGGCACTGTCTTCTGTGCTGTTGGCCCCAGGGGCGGTGACGGCGATGGGGTGTGTGCTGAATTTGATAACGTCGATCAGGATAGCATCGCTCAGCCTGTTGAAGACATCGACGCAGCGTTGCAACGACTTCCATCTTTCCGATACCGCTACAAGGACGTTTGAGCATGTTCGTGTATCGCTAATCACTTCCATAGTGCTTGGATTTCTGATCAGCAGACCACCTAGTCGTTGACCTTGCTGTCTCCGAATGGCCTGGTAGTGCATCGTTACAGCGTACACATATGATAACCCTGCCATAAACAAAGCTTGTAATGAAAGCCAGCTGTGATTCAAGAGCCCCATACGATGAAGGCTAGCATACGAGGATATGGAAGCCTGAGAGGAGGCGAAAATCGCTTGTACCGCAACTGAGTCTCTTGACGTGTCCAGTGTGGGCGATGGTCGATGGAGCATTAGCACGGCGTTATGGTATATCATCTCGAACCAAGTTGGTGAAGTGAAGCAAGATGAAGGCCTGCCTTCATCCAGAGAACCCGGATGAGCGACGGTTTCGGCATTCCGGCGCCAAACTCTGAGGTCGGCAGCGAATTCATCTCTACGGTGGCGGAGCTCATCATCCGACTGATTTCTTCGACGGTGACTGTGCAGAGTCTGGATGATATCACCACACAGTAGGCGATACTTGATGATCTGAACGAAAATTGGTATGCGGCGGCATTTGACCAGGTTCTCGACCATGGGCGTTTCGAGTCCAGAAAGCAGGATCTCGTCACATAGGTTAGACGGTAGTGCCGCGTCTACGTCGTCGTTGTGAATTGCCAGAGGTCTGCCAAGTATGTTGCTGACTATTCTAGTACGCTGTCAGCTAGTTCACCCTCTGGCATATGCTCGCGTCACAATTGCTTAACATACCTGTCCATAGCCACAATGCTCCAAAAGCAAAGCCGGGAAACTTCCTGCTGTACAAGATCGGCACTCAAGTCTGCATTACTTGTAGAGTCATCCGAGCGTTTGTAAGGATATGCAGTTTCACAGTGAAGGCCAAGTTCCAGGGCAATTCTGCTTCCCACTCCTACCAGATGCCACATGCCTGTGTAATTGTTAGATGGCTCTTGCGATCAGGCAATATCTGTTCTGATGTATCGAGGTGTAGCAACATACTGGCTGAGGTATCTTCCATGGAACTGCTCATGCGATACTGAATCAACAGGATGACTGCTTGGAGTGCGCCGAGCCCGCCTTTCTCTAAGACGGTCGAGGCTCGCTTCATCGCCCGTATGTAATGAGTATGAGCACTTGGTAGCCCTTGCCAATCGGACCGGCAGATGCTGGCTGTCGCGATAGCGAGAACCATGTCGAAAATGAAGGTTTCACTTGCGGAGCGCGTGGAGGAAGTCGCGTTCGAGCTATATATTTCCGAAAGCATCGCACCGAGAGTAGCAGGGAGGACCACAGGGTAGCGTAAGTGGTCATGGTTGAGATATGACAGTACAAGTCTGCTCGCTGTCTGTTCAGATGGTAAGTCTCGAGCAAACTCAATAGCCGAAGCAGTCGCGTTGATAGCATCAGCGTCAACAGGTGGAGTTGTCGACGGCGTTGAAGTTCCAACGTCCACATTGGCTCTGATGAAGTTCGCGAGAAGTATGCCGCTTGACGACCCCAGATAGTTCCTTTCTCCGGATGCATTGATCGAGAGGTAGGACACTTCACCCGCGACGTCGGTAGATGTACGACGCTGCGAAGTGCCACTGTCGTTTCTGGAATGATTGCTTTGGACATTGGGGGCGGAACTTTGGCCTGTAGAGGATACTGAGTCTGCCCTCCTTTGTTGCACAAGAGTCCTGTTCTGGACTTCTAAGCGCTTAATTCTTCGTTCAAGCGTGTCTACGTGGGCCTGGCTATAGGTGCGTGCTTTGGTCCGATCTGTATAGCGGCATTCTGATCCATTCAAGCTGCATCGTCGGCACGGGAGAAGCTTGTCGCATCGAACCTTCCTCTCATGACAGTGATCGCACCTGCACGTCGACGTTAGCGCTCTATACGCGTCGAGACGCGTTGTGACCGACCGGGTAATGGGCTACGAAGACATACGCTTGCATGGCTAGGATCGTGCCCTTGCGCGTCTGAGAAACTCGGTGCCCAGATCCGAGAGTTTCGGTGTGTGGGAGCGAGATGTGGAGTAGGAAGAGAACCGCTGGCCGAGATGTTGGCATGGTGCAAGTGCCGGCACCGGGAAGCGGGCGAGCAGTAGCGTGATTCGGCCTCGGCCCTCCATGACCGAGGATGGAGTCATTCTGCACGAACAATTACACTAGCATGATGGCGTCGATGTCGTGAATTGAAGAGTGAACATGCTCGCAATGTCCGCGACAGACTGTGGGGTAATTCACTCCCCAACGTTGGCATGCGACACGCGACATCTTCCAAGGTTGTCCTCGCCCACTCACGTGCACGTGCCTGCGATGACGCAGAGCGAAATTGACCACTCACAACTTCCGCAGCCCGAACACTGCGAGAACGTGCAGCGGGCTCCGAAAACCATATCGATGACCATCAATACCAAAGTCAGTAGCGAGGTCAGGAGAATATTCTGATATCAGCGCCAGGCGACAGACGGCCGGAACGTGTGGGCCGACAACAATACCTCCCTAGGTATATATTGCCTGGACAGGCCTACTACTACCGCGTCTGGTCCAGCCCGTACTACCCTTGATACTTTAGTATGCAGGCTATCCTTTCTACAAAGTAGAACTGGAGTAGATGGTGCCTTAGGTGTCTTCGCTACCACGAAGCCCTTCTGGCTACATCGCAATTGCGCAGGCTGCAGCGAGTCCGCCGAGGGCAAGAACCCGACAGTAGCGGCATACATTACACCCGCAATCCAGCGCGACTAACGACACGCAGCTTCCTACAAACCCCGTCCTTGGTTCCACTCCCGTTCACGTCTTCAACTCTTGCCAACGAAGCCCAATCCATCATTATGGTAGTCAGCCCACTCTTAACGCAGCCGATGTCCTATGAACCCATTGAAACCCGCCTGGCCGCCATGCGTGTTGCTCTATCCTCAGGCTTCTCTCCCAACGAAATGGACAGGCGCCCCCGCGGTGTAGGCCGCCCACTAGACTGTGCAATCGAAGATGGCTGGCCCGCCGACTTTGCCCATCTCAAGCAAAATCTCCCTGTTGTCCATCTGCTTCTCGAAGCCGGGGCTGATCCCAGGCTTCCTTCTCGGGATCCGCCCGGCCGCTCGCCAATTGATTCCCTAGAGGCTTGGTTCAAGCAGTATGAGATCAGAGGGCATGAATTCGGCCCTGAGCATTTAGAGCTGAAACCGTTCTTTGAGAAGGCTTTGGAAGCTATGAAGAAAGTTGCTGATGAGCTTAATGGTGAGTTTGCGTTGACATGGTGTTGTGTATGTCTCTTGTTCGTTGGCTAAGCTGGAGTGCGATTAGCAAAAGACGCCGCTGAAGCTGCTGAAGCTGCCAGAAAAGCTCGTAGAGAGAGACCGTTGTTTGGTAGGCTGAAGTTTTGGTGACGCGATCGATGTAGCTGCAAGAGATGGTAACAATGCGTTTGCGCGTTTAGCCCGCGGGACTGGCTTAGCTCTTTGCTTATGAGGCGACACCGCAATCTATCTGGTGGCTTCAACGTGATCGAGAGCACGGGTATAGTGTGGGCAGTGAACAGAATGTAGCATCTTATACCTGTTTCATGGGCCTAAGGCGATCCGGCGACAAACATCCAAAATTGCGACTACCAGGACGAGAAGATGCAAGACAAGAAGGCAGAAAGGCGACAAGGGAAGGAACTGTAAAGAGCGCCAATGGGGACGAAGGGGATTTGTCCAATGCTCATGTGCTCTTACCTATTGCACATCGTACGTCCTTGTCTGTTTTTACACGCCACATTCAGGTTGATAGGGGCTCTCCACCATACAGCTTCGTCATGTAGTGGCATTTTTCAAGATATTATACTGTACAACCCCATATCATCCGATTAATCCTCGATATCATCATCGCTCAACGTCAGACTGGCGCCCTTGTCCGCCAACCCAGCAATCGCTGTTTCCGGCTCTTGTGCCTTACTCTCAAACTTCACCCGTCCTTTCTTCTTCGGCGTCTCCAGAGTTGGTTTGTCCGTAGACCACTGCTCTTGCTCGCCAGGGCGAATATCTTCTTCAGCGTCATCTTCTTCAGTGGCACCGGAGAGAGCATTTCCGGTGAAGGCTGTGATCTTCCGGATTTCGCGCACGGTGGCTGCTGTGGATGGGTTCGGCATGCGTGTTTTGCGCAAGATGGTGGTCATGTAAGGTAGACGTTCAAGAAGCATTTCGTTCCGCGCCGAGCCACCGCTTCCAAGGTGAATTGAAGCTGGCGCATCTTCTTCGGCATCTTTCGAGCCGGATGCCGATGTGGGCTGTGAGAACGAAGCATTGCCTTTCCACGACTCGACTCCTCCGCTCGAGAAAGCCGGTTTCGATGTAGTTGACCCTGTCGAAAAGAGCTCACCACGCTGCGCCTTTGATACCCACATCTCCAGTGCACACTCAATCTCTTCCTGTTGTTTCCATATCCGCAGCGAGGCCGGATAGTACATGACAAACGCGTTGCCTTTTGCCGCTCCACCACTTGCTCCTTGGCCTTTCGCCTTGATACCCATGATGCCTGGAGGCGGTGCAACGCGCTTGACGGGATATGGCAGGTTATACAGAAGCCCTCGTACACTCGTCTGAAAGCACATCTCGTCTTGGCGCAGATTATCTGCACTAGTTCCTTGGAGGACCCGTCGGCCAGCGCCCGCACCAAAGCGGTCCGGCGATAGAAGGTCGGCATCGGAAAGAGCTTCTATACAGCCCTCAATGGAGTCCATAGTCTCCTCACTATCCGCAGCTCCGCAGGACAGGACATAGTTCTCGTGGAGAGCAGCGACAAAGGTCTGGGTATCGGTACCCAGCTCATCGATGAGCGTGTCGACATTGACCTCCGAGGCCTTCGGTCTTCGCCTTTCTGGAAACCAGTTCGGTGGATGTGCCACGGGTGTGTTAGAGTCCTCCGGTAGACGCTTGTTGTACACAACTCTCCCAACAGCATGGAAGATGCCGAGAGTGCTTTCGCGCTGCGTCACCATTTCGAGCGACTCCTGCTCGATCTTCGTCATCGGGATGTCTTTCGGGCCCTTCTTCTTCGTGAGGTTGACCTTCGCGCCCCAGCCTTCCGCATCATCACCTCGCAGGCAGAGGAACTCGAGAGAGGAGACAGCGCTCCGAATGTCTCCAAGTTCTGCAAGACGCTGAATCGCCTGTGGCCCTAGAGTCTTTTTGCGCCCGGATTTGCGCGCCTCCTTGACAACAATCGTTTCTAGCGCCTTTGTCATGTATGTGGGGGCGATTGGGTTGAACTCGAGAACAGACACTCCGGGATGGGTCAGGATCTCAGGGCCTAACAGCCGATGTGCAGTGAAGCTGTCGGCTGCCGCCGTGTTGGTGGACAGCAGGGTCTCGGATATTATCATTACGATTGGGGTCACTGGCTGCTCGGGATCGACCTGGGTCGAAAAGAAAGCAGTAGCTGATTGCGTATTGGCAGCAAGATAGTTGAGGACGGAAGAGCGAAAAGATTGAACGGCCGAAGAAGTACGTGTGAATGTATTCGGAAACTCCTCTACTAGGACAAGCTGCTTCTGCCTTTCGGTCTGACTGTTCGACGAAGCCGTCTGGGCACTCATTGTCGGCTCATCGAAGGCCAGACTACCAAAGGCTCCAGTCCTTCCAACGAATTCTTCGAACTGTGCAGTAGCAGACACAAAGCTGTCGGAGGTTGACATGGAACCTATAGGGTTCTTCCATTCATGCATGTGGATGCCCAGTTCCTTGGACAGCAGGGACATGGTGGTGGTCTTCCCACTGCCAGCAGGGCCTTTGAGCAGCAGCAATCGCTTGCGTGCCTTGCCGCTGAAGACGTCTGTGAGCCATGTCCGCACGTCCGCCACCTTCCTCTTATGCACAGCGAGCTCATCGAGCGACACCGGACCGTACTTTTCAGTCCACGGCCGCCGGTCTTCTGTGTCCTGCCGCGCTGGCTGGGACGATATCGGTGTTGTGGATAGCGGGGTCGTACTACGCGCTCCGCTCGCTGTTCGCAGGAACTTCTGCCTGTTGCTCACAGCATTGGCAGGGTCCGTTGGCGCTGTCGCAGCGATCGGTCTCTTACGAACGGGGAGGGGCTTCGGGGGCTTGATGGACGGCGCATCGTCTGAGGAATCAAAGATATCGTCTACATCTTCAATTGACAGGGCCGGTTTCTCGGGGCTCGGCGTGGGGTGCAGCGACTGCGAGCGCGGTATATTACTGAAGAAAGAAGTGATGGGCTTGGATGATGGCTTTGCTTTAGCCGGCGATTTGGCTGGAGACTTCTTAGTAGGAACTGCTCGCGATCGCGTTGGCGAGGCTGCACGTGTCTGGGATCGGGTGCCTGTTAGTGTGCCCCTCTTGGGACGCGCGGGAGGCGGTGTATGTGAATCATCCGCCTCAGACTCGGATGAGACGACGATCGGCTTTTTGCGCGTGGCCCGAAGCTTAGCCATGCCGCCCCCGTTTGATGGACCTGGAGAGCACTCGAACGCAGAGTGACATGCTCAGTGCTAGGCCGGTTGGGGGTGCAGAGCGCGTGATGGGAGTCCAGCAGCCGTGTCGAGGCTGCGTCGCGTCGGAGCGCGGAGGAAGTTCCACGGGCCCAAGCGCGCTAGGCACAGTGGGGCCAAGAGCTGCTAAGGCTGTTGACAACGCACCTCTTTTCTGCATCTTCACACACACCGCTGCTCTTTTCCCGCTAGCACCCGCTGTAGTGCGCTCCTTTCGAGGCTCATATGCAGCTAACTTGTCCAACCGGAGACCGCCACAACGCCCTCCCTGCCACTGCTGCATGAGGTTCAATTTTCGAGCCCCAGCGGCGTCATCGCGTGCATATCGGCTCGTTGAATCGCTGTCCGACAGTAAACATCAACAAAGAATTCGGTCCATGGCCTGTGGCCGGTCCACTGTCGCTGGCCGCCATCGTCGTACAGAGTGAGCAGCGCAGCAAGACCATATAGACGTAATTGTACCAGACACGCGAAGTCGCATTCGATGGCTGGTAACGCAACGCTCGGGGCATATAAATTAGACCGCTCGAGTTTACGATGAGCTGGCACTTCCCTGCCAATCTCCCATTGGGCGGGAAGGCGTTTGCAGCTTGTACTATCCTCTTCCATTCTTTTCACTGCCGCATTCCTTATATGCTGATTTCGCGCGTGCTCGTTGTTTTTTGACATGTTCCCCGTCGTCATGCTCCGTTAACAGGCGCCTTTTTAATTTTTGCGAGTATCTGAGCTCAACGTGAGAAGCGCAAACTCCGGCGCAGGATTCGGGAGTTCTTGTTGCCTTTAACGCTATTTACAACAACTATCACGTTTGGCGGCCGTTATGGCAAAGAAGAAGAAAAGCAGCAAGAAACCGGTGGAGCCCGTTGCTCCACCTGACAACGTGCCAACAAATGCTGCGGAACCAATTCCTGATGCGCCTGAGGCTCCATTGACAGCAGAGGAATCAGCCACAGAAGCAGAGTCCGGGGAGCAGTCCATGCCAACCGCTTCCGAAGTGGAGCCCGACGAGGGTACGGTTCCCACGCTGGTGGAAGAGTCCACATCTGCACCCTCACAACACCCTGAGACCATAGAGACTATACCAGACGAGGCTACAGAGGCACCGGCCACTGAGATCATACCTGCTGCAGAGCTAGATCCACCTATGGGGGAAGAGCAGGAATCTGGGTCGCCAGCGGATACTACCGAGGCCGTGGAGTCAGAGATTGCCGGGCAAAGCGCTGAAGACATGCATCATACTACAGCAGAAGATGAAGAGTCATCGGTTATTTGGGTTGGAGACGCGCACGACCCAGAACCCGATGCAGAGCAGCAAAATACTCCGGAGGAACAGCAGCCCCTACAACTAGACGAAGAGTCCACACCCCAGCCAGACCCTGTTCCAACTCAAGATTCTATTGAACCAGCAGACACGCCGGTTGAAGACACACTCCCGCCACAAGAATCTACAGCGGAGCTAGCGCCTGAAGCAGAACCTGAAGTAGTTACTACCACCGCGGAAGAAGCTATCGAACCGATAGACCAGATGGATGGCGGTCTTAATGAGAACGGAGCTGAGCAAGATCTGGCGGAGATAGTCGAGGTACCAGAGGCACCAGGGGCACCAGAGATAATGGAAGCACCTGAAGTACCAGAGGCGCCGGAAGTGCCAGAAGCTCCAGAGGCTCCAGAGGCACCTAAAGTGCCAGAATTACTAGAGGTACCTGAAGCTCCCGAAGCTACCGAAGCGCCGGAAGCACCAGAGGTATCGCAACCGCCAGAAGCTGTCGAAGCGCCAGAAGTACCAGACGCACCCGAAGCACCCGAAGCACCCGAAGCACCCGAAGCACCCGGAGCACCCGAAGCACCAGGGGTACAAGAGGAACCAGAAGTCCTAGAAGCGCCAGAGGCTCCCGAAGTACCTGAGGTACCAGAAACGCCTGAAGTACCAGAAGCACCGGAAGTACCAGAAGCACCGGAAGTACCAGAAGCGCCAGAAGCGCCAGAGGCCCCCGCTGCACCTCTGGCTCCATCAGTGGTGTCAGCTGGGAGTGATGAGGACGACATCATCGAAGCTTTCACAGTCGAGGATCTATCAGCACCAGAACCAGAGCCTGAGGCTGTTCCAATAGCAGTCGAACGGTCGGTGGACGTCGGGCTACCAGATGCGCCTGTCGAAGGAATATCAGCATCAGAAGCCCCTGAGACAATCACACAGCCTGAGTCTATTCCCGAGACTTCGTCTACAGATGCCCACATTGAGCCGATAGAAGAGCTCGTCGTAGCTGCCCAAGACGAAGTACCAAGACAGCATGCCGACCGAGAGCAAGAGCGGCTTGAGGCCGAAGCAGCGGCCGCGGCTGAGGCTCAAGAATCTGCCTCGCTAGCGCAGGCCGCCCAATCCCAGGAAGACGCACAGCGAGAAGAACTGAAGAGATTGGAGCAAGAAGCAATCGAGCACGAGAGGTTAGCGAAGGAGGCCGAGGCCAACAGACTACTGGAGGAGCGACGCGCAAGAGAGGCCCAAGAAGAGCTGGAAGCTGCCGAAGCCGTGAAACGGGCTCTGGAAACCATGAGAGCCAAGAAGGAAGAGCAGCATAAGGAGACCGAGAGGCTCGAACAAGAGCGACTGGCCCGTGAAAGGCTCGAGCAAGAGAAGTTAGAGCAGATTGTCGAAGCGAGGAAGCTTCTGGCATTAATGGAAGAAGAACGGAAGGCCGCAGAGATCCAAGAAGAGGCCGAAGCCGCTGCAGTCGCCGAAAAGGCTCGGAAAGAGAAGGAAGAGGTCGAAGCTGCAGCTGCTGCCGAACGTGCTCGACAAGAGAAGGAAGAACTCCGGCAGGAACAATTACGACGTGAGAGAGCCGAAGAGGCTCGAATTGCTAGGAAAGCCCGAGCAGCTGCGGATGTCCTTGCGGAAGAGCAGAGAGAGGAAGCAGAACGGTTGGAACGGCTGGCCCAGGACGAGTCACGTGAGCAAGCCGAGATACCCTTCATCGCACGTCGATCCATGATCGAATCAGCACGTGCTCCGTCACCTCCTTCGGGAGTACCTGACATGCACGATCGTTCTCCAGTCTCTGATCGACCATTTCGATCGTATCGATCTTTCGCGCCACATGCACCGAAGCTTAGAACACACGAAGCGGGTCCAAACCATGCACCGAAGCCTTATGCTGTGGCACAGCTCATTGAGGATAACAGACCTGCGGCCCCAAGCCCGCCAATGAGTAAAGCTCGACCAAGGTATGTGAATTCCATTTCTCAGTCCGGTGAGGTAGTCGCTCGGCGCTTCTTCGGCGACCGTCAACCACGACGCCGGACCCAAAGCGAACATGCTCGAGATACATAAGGTTCCTGGCCGAACTCTGATGGATTACGATACTAACTACATGTTTCCCTCTAGACACGCTCCCACCTTTGACAGCGACGACGATTCAGATTCTGCTCTAGTACAAAACAGGATAGCGTCGAGGCGTCCATTTAGCGGTGAAGCGCATGAAGTGTCGCGGTCCCACTTAGGCCCACATCAACCACGTAGCGCTTTTGCATCCCGAGTGCCTGTTGAGCCCACCTATCCGGCCCCTCCACCAAATTATCATCCCAGCTACTATGCCCCGCCAGCCCAGCCGCCTCACCACTACCCAGATCATGCCTACGGCATGAGTCAGCAGGGTTATCCCGCGCCTAACCCCAATCCTTACGGCCCTTCGTCGCATTCTTCCTCCCCTCCCTACCAGGAATCATGGAGCCAATACCCACCCGGGTACCCTCCTTATGGCAGCCCACATCATCGACAGGACTCCTCTGGTTCTAGAGACCTTCATTCACATGTTTTAGCCAGTCGACCTGCAATCGAACACGTGTCTGGCGACGCACTCTCACATATCCCGCAGACTGATCTGCACGTTCTACTTGCGCATTACAAAGAGACTCACAACCAACTGCGTGCTAGGGAGGACCTGCTTCGTCGGCAAACTGCTGAGCAAGAGCAGAAACTCCGCGCAAAGGATGGTGAGATTGGTGAGCTGAAGCAGAAGATTCGCAACTTGGAAGACAGGCATTCAGCCGAGGCAACCAGACTACACTTTCAGATCGGGAATCTGGAAGAGCAAGTCAGAGAGCTCCGAGAGCTGATTGCTGAAACCAAGAAAGCTAGAAGAGACGCCGAAGAGACCAAGTTGGTACTGGATGCAGCCATGAGGTCGTGGGAGGACAGGTACAAAGAGCTGGAAGATGTGCATCGCACGCTGGAGAGGACCTCTGCCGAGGAGAGGGAAAGAGCATGGAGAGATTTCGACGAATGGAAGGAGGCCACGAACACGAAACACGATGCGGAGAAGATCGCCCTTGCTATCCAATTCGACAAAAAGCTGAAGCAAGCTGGGCAAGATGCTGCCGAGGCGGCTGAGCTCAGGGCTCAGCTTCAGGCAGCTCTTGACCGAGAGCAAGAACTCATCAGGGAGCGCGACGACCTTCAGAAGATGCGAGAAGACTCAGATCGCCGGGCTGGGGAAGAAGCAGCGAGAGCCGATCAACTGGCGAGAGAGAAGGATGAGCTGATGAACTCGTTCGACCAACTCAGAGCCGAGAGTCAGAGGGAGAAGGAGGTCATCAGAAGCGTTGCCAGCAACCTTGAGTCGGAGAAGTCTAGACTTGAGAAGATGATGGAATGCTATGGTGACATCGCCGAGATCAAGAGCAAGGGCGACAGCTACTAGTAAGTGATTCCCAGTTTTGCACATTCGCTCTTGATGCCGGCACGATGGTAGCAGGGGCCGCATTGCCGCCAGTGTTGGTTGATGATGGGTGGTTTGGGTGCGCTTCGTTATCTTTCAACGGATAATGAAGTGCACCGAGATCAGTTGCTTATCTTCTGGCCGGCGGCTGTGATGATGCAACGGAAGCCACCATGTCTTGCCATACACTGTCTTTCTCGTCTACCGCTCGCGTAATGCGATGTTTGTTATCGCGTCCCTTCACTGTCGCTTTGTTCAGTACAGAGTCGCTCGCTAACACCATCGCGTCTAGCCTGGTATCCTTCACTCAGCTTCAAAGGCAAATCATCGATCTTGCTACAACCCATTTCGTTCACCTTCCAGTAAGGCCGCCACCGGAGGATCTTGCGCAAGTGCCGTCCAACCTACCGTCCTTCCTTGGTGATAGCATTGCCTCCAGACAAGTCCGAACCGCATACATCGCCCACACTGTATCGAAGCTCATTACTTTCCGTGTCTTTGGCCCATTCCTGTTCAGTCTTGGACGCCGCTACGACAAAGCCGACTCTCTTTTCTCCTCGATGAGCCACCACATTCGCGAGAAGAGCACGCGCAAAGAAGCGATTTGGCGACAACAAACACTCCTTGCTGCTTTTACCAGCACTGGCGCGAAGCAGCGCATCAATACTGCTGCCGGAACCGTTGTCGAGGAGATCGTCAACGCTATCCGACACTTTGCTGATCCAAAAGAGGAGGAAGGCATCAAGATCGCCGTGAAGCGCATCGTGAAGGTCGCTGCGGAGACATGGAGATTTGCTCGTCTCGAGCGAGAAATGATCACCGCCGTCATGCCTGCGCTGCACGACGAAGAACATCAATTTACCAGCAACCAGTTCTGGCCAGCTTACAGCCCAGAAACAGGCTCAGCGACGGATGACCCACCTCCTCCTGATTCGCAACGACAATTGTTACTCAGGATCTTCCCGGTTGTATACCGCGAATCGAAGCACGAGATCTTCCAGAACAACGAAGAGCAGCGTGACGAAGGCTGCATTCTCCACCATGGGCTGGCTCTGTATGATGATGCAGAGCCAGTTGTGACGAGAATGGAGGAGCTCAAATCTGCTGGTTTGCCTCCCCATACCACTGCATTAACGAGTCCGACTGACGAGGGCAAGTTTCCGCCGCCGGTACGTAACACCACCCGCGTGTTCACCTTACCCCAGCGTTCCTAGCACCGCTTTCGAGCTTCCTTCACCCAGCCTCTGACAGGCTCGCGATATATCAAGATCTACGTAAGATGAAAAGACTGCTTCAGATCACTTGGCTAACACGCTGGCTTTCCAGGCTTGCCCGCCTCCACGCGACCCGATACCACCTCCCCCCTCTCCCCCCGCCCCTCGATCTCCGACGAAAGCCGAGACGAATACGGATGAGGAATCTCCAGTGTCACGTCCGATGTCACCGGAGAAGCCAGAGAAGCCCAAGAAGCTCTCGGCTATCGAGCGAGCGTTGAACCTCTTCTCTAATCCTTCCTCGGATGACAAGATGAAGCCTCCGCCTCCAGGCTCTACCTTCTCACGTCCGCCGGCGCCCCCGACGTCCGTGTTTACGTCACCCAGGAACTTCATTGGCATGCCCGTCGAGAGTTTGGCTCCCTCACATGCTCCGAGTGCAAGGAAGAAGCCTCCACCACCACCGCCGAAACCTGCGTCGAAGCCTGACATACCTTCAACGGCTGCAGAAATCGCGGAAGCCATACGCCATCGCCAGTCTGTGGAGAGCGCGATCCTACCGCCGTCCTTCTCGCGGACTACGACGGATGACACTATCCACGAGCATCCCGATTCGCGAGCTCCTACGCCGGTAGACACGGTGTCTCACATGTTCGATGCCATCGATGAAATCGAAACGCTGGTGCCGCAACGTACGCGAACTACGTCGACCTCTACCACGCATTCGCGACGCCGCTCTACGCATACTCGCCGATCTACCGAACACGCCATCGAGGACGAGCTGTTTGACATCACTCCTCGACCGGATCACACTCGCAGAAAGAGCGGTTATGCGGCGAGCATTCGCACGACTAAGTCTGCCGATACCGAGCGCACTGATCGAAGCGAGCGCACCGACAAAAGTGAGCGCACCGATAAGAGCGAACGTACCGAGAAGAGTGAGCGGACAGACAAGAGCGAACGAACAGACAAGAGCGAGCGAACCGAGAAGAGCAGCCGCAGCCATCGGACAGAGAAGAGTGACCGTTCGGATAAAACCGAGCGCGAAAAGGCTCGTTATGTGTACGAGACGCGTGGTGCTGCTATGAAAGCTCTATATCCCAACACTCCGGTGAAGGGCTCTCATGGCAGCGCTAGACACTCCGAGAAGAGTGTGAAGAGCGAGAGAAGGAAGGAAAGAGGCAGCAAGGACTCAACCAAGGAATCGAACTTGACGAGAGAATCCCGAGAGTCGAGGGAGGCCAAGAGAGAATCACGAGAGGTCAAGAGACAAAGGAGTATCTCCGATGCTGGCACATGGGATACCAACAGCATCATGACTCACGACTTTGCGCCTACGACCATCACGACCAACGCACCCTATCCTTTCATGTACGACTCAAGACGAGACTCGAAAGAGTTAAAGCGAGAGTCCAGGGAGATACGGCGGCAACGCAGCATCTCTGATGCTGGCACTTGGGACACAAGCACTGAGATCAGTCAGCGTCCTCCACCGACCACGGTCTCGACCAACGTTCCCTATCCTACAGGAATGCCTTGGGAGCTGAAGCGATCACGAAGCATTTCCGACTGCGGTACCTGGGACACCAGCAGTGAGGTCACTCAACGTGCGCCTCCCACAACCGTATCGACCAATGTGCCCTACCCTATGGAACAACACGTGGACGAGTCGGAACGATGGTCTATGCCACCACCTCGCAACTCAATGAGGATGGAGGTCTCCGACGATGAAGTGTCTGACACTGGGACCTGGGATACCAACACTGAGATCAATACCCACCGTGCTCCCCCTACGACCGTGTCTACGAACGTGCCCTATCCTTCCTACAACGCTCCTTCTACAATTATCTCTACCAACACCCCTCGTTTCACACAGCCTCCTCGACAGCTACGACGACCCAGCGTGTCTGACGATGACGCGTCTGATGATGACGTCTCCGACACTGGGACGTGGGACACCAACACCGAGATCACTACTCATCGCGCGCCTCCCACGACCGTCTCCACCAACGTCCCCTACTCAAGCATAATGCACCGCCAGCTGAGAAGGCTGAGCGGCAGCGATACCGGCACATGGGATACCGCTAGTGAGGTCACTCAGCGTGCGCCTCCCACAACAGTGTCCACCAACGTCCCCTACCCCTCCGCGCAATTCAGCGACCTTGGCCCCTCGAGCTACCCACCCGGCCCCTTCGAGCAGCTCAAGCGAGTCGAGCAACTCCGAAAACAGCACGAGCACCACAGCTTCTCTGACGACGGCTCCGACTCCGGCACCTGGGATACAAGCAGTGAAATCACTCACGCTAACAACGGGCCTGCTACTGCTACGCAGGTGTCCCAGAACAAGTCCTACCACCGTTCTGAGAGGCCGAGGGCACCAAGGAGACAGACGAGCCCGGCTATTTCCGAGGCGGGGACGTGGGATACCAACAGTGTGATTACGAATAACGATATAAAGACGACTGTTTCGACGAATGTGGGGTATGCTTCTGAGCGAAGATCTCGATAGGTGGATGCGAGCATTGTGTGTGAAGACGGTCTAAATGGTCCGCGTGACACGGCTTTTTTTCTATGAGTTACTGTTATTGCGCTTTGTTTCTTTTTGGTTTCGCTTTGTGCGTATGGCTGCAGCTACGCAATATCGTAGGAGCACACGTTGATGATGCAGATGAAGGATGAACACGAGTGAGGATATATATGGATTACGGCCGAGCAATGCATGATGAAGAGTCTCGAGATGGTTGCATTTCTGTAGCAGGGCGTTCTGGTTCCTTGCTTGTTTGATTCGAAGTAGACGAGCTTGTAAGATAGTTATCATATCATCTGTTTTCAAGTGCAAGATACTGCTCTCATGACGGGTTTGTGTGAAGTTCGCGTGTTTTTTGTTGTGCCTGGCAAAGTCATTGCTGTGATGCGTAAATCTATACTCGATGCTAAAGCCTTGAAGTCTCCAAAACGGACTCTGGTCTGAAAGTTGTGCTCTCGTACAAGCGGAGGTCGTGGTGGTGCCCCCAAAGAAAGTGAAGGAAAGCTCCAAAACGCCGAGGCTAGCCCGAACATCAATCGCGCTCGAAGCTCAAGCTACCAAGACGCTCTCAAGAAAGTCCAACTCCCCATCTCAACGCCACAAACACCCATTCTCGCCTCCTCCAACCGCGCCAATTCGCGTCAAACACCCAGAAGAACTCATACCCAGCTTCAGAAATGGCAGAACCGTCTCCCAACCCAGCCGTCGCAAACCCCGACATCGACCCAGCGCTCACAGATGGCGAGGCGCAACAAGCACCTACAGAACAACCCGCAGATGTAGAAATGGCAGATTCAGGCGCAGCACCAGCAGTAAGCTACCATCCTAGACATCACCACCAAAAGTCCCTTACTAACACCCTCTTCAAGCCCACCGCCCTCGACGCCTCAGCCTCAACACCCACCCACCAACCCAGCGTCCAAACCGTCCCGCCCACACCCTCCACCTCCACGCCCGCACCACCCTCCGCACCAACTCTACCGACCGCTACCACAGCGCCGACACCCACCCCTGCAGCCTCATCGCGCAACTCACCGCACCCCACTGCGCAAGCGCCCACACAACCTATTCCACACGGTAGTCCCACGCGGGTGTATCTGAATCAGCATGTGACGCCGCATCTGCTCGAGGCGATGAAACATCTTGCTACTGCGGAGCCGGAGAAGCCGCTCAAGTGGTTGAGTGAGTTTCTGGCGGGGAAGAGTAGGGAGATTGAGGGGACGTGATGGGCTTGTGGAAAAGGGTGATGGGATGATAGCGGTGGAGGGAGGATAGAATAGGATACTTAGGGCGAAGACGAAGTAGCTCTGTGGATGGACAGTCACATGAGCAGCTTCACTCAAGCACTCATCGACGAGAAGGAGACTGTCATGCGCATGCGCGTTTGGGCGGTGAGCTTTGCAGTATATCTGGCAAGCTTGACTACTGGACGACCAGCATGGCTTTGAAGGGCAAGCGATATAGAACGACTTCAAGCGCGTGGCAGATGTTCACCAAAAGTATAAGACGGCGTCAGGATGATACCCAAGTCAAGCAGGATTACAACAAACAGATTTCAGATTTTGACACTTTCAATGCAAATTGGGTATATTCAATGCGAGGTGATGCTTTTGATTGATTCATTCCATATCGTGATCCTGCTAGGTATCCGCAAAGCATCCATGCCCGTGAAACTCCACTTAAATGTCTACCATGACGACTACCATCCACACCAATCCGACATCTGCTTATGCGACGAGGGTAGAGGCGGTGGCGCTCTCGTACCTCCAGGTAGGGGGGAGGGCACCGACGGTCTTGTAGTAGCGGGAGAGCTGGGGATGATCAGCACGTGCTCTTGTTATGGGGAGAGTCTGGGTAAACTTACACGGTGGATACGGGACTCGATGAGAATGAGGCGGAACTTGGAGTCGCGGTCCTTGCGGTTGGTCTGAAGGTGCTTGCGGACGGCAACGGCCTTCTTGATCAACATGTAGAGGTCCTCTGGGATGTCGGGGCTGAGGCCTTAAGCGCAAAATGTTAGCCTAGACCAACAAATGCAGTTTTGTATAGCGCGCAGATGCTCACGAGGAGCAGAGCTGTGTCGACATGCGCTTTCATGTGTATAGGGCAATCGTACCGTTCGACTTGAGGATTCGGAGGATCTTGTTGCCGGTGACAACCTTGACCTGAGCGACACCGTGCGAGTCACGGAGGATCTCACCAATCCTGCGATTGTGTTAGCCGACCAAATCTGTGTGTATTCCTTTCCAAGCGATTGTCTTACTGAGATGGTGTAGCACCCTTCTTCGCGAGCTTGCAGATCTGGTCGACAACCTGCTCGGGGGTGGTCTTCAACCACGCCGGGGGGCTGCGGGAGTAGGGGATGGCGGAGGCTGATATGCCCTTTCCGTTGCTGTGAAGACGACCCATTTTGAATGAATGTTCCGGATGGCGACCTGGTCGATTAGTACGGAGACGTGGTGGTGGGCTTGTCGTGGGTTGAAGTTCGCGATCGAAGACTCCAATTTCTCGCGGCTCGGCTAGGTCTGTGGTGGACCGTGCGCGGGCTAGCGTCAAAGCTCCTGCCAGACAAAAAGTCTGCGACGACCAACCTCGTCCTCCGCACCTCACGATGTCAAAACATTGACCTCGGCGTGCAAGCGCGATTGTCTCAGCTATGTTGAAGCTAGATGGTCGCGCATCAGATTACGATTGATATCTCTTCGGAATTGCTTACCCTAAGCCAGCTACAGCAGCTCACTCCCAACGTAAGTTCAACCCAGTTCCTCCCTTCCATCACAATGATGAGATCCAGTGCATTCGACGCCTCTTATTTTAGGCGGGGTTCTTCGGAACCTCGCCGGTGCATAAATCTCTATTCTGACAAGTGCCATCTCTGCTTTACTGCATGAAATCTTGCGAGCGACCAGTGCTAACAAGAACCAGATATACAGATCACCTCTACTTGCGCTTCCTCCTGTATCTACTACTCGGTATGTACTTCTGCCGTTTTCTTCATCGCACAATGATGACAACCCATACTTTTGGCACCTCTTATTTTAGGCACACCCGTAAGGGCGTTGCCAGTGCATTCAACTTATACTCTGATTTGCGATCTTATCAACTTCTTTATTTACATGAAACTTTACTGGCGACATGGACTTACAAGAAGCAGTTTTCAATTACATTAGGTTGTTGTCGCCTTCAGCCTCGGTCAGATCGCACTTTCTTGTTGACTCACGCGTACGCGGTTTCTCGTACACTGCCCGTGGCTTCCGCATGCTAGATGTCGTCACGCCATAGTCAAATATATCAATAATAATACATCCATGGAACCTGTGCCAGCTCATCACAACCCTACCTCACTCCAACGTTTTCTTTCACGCTTCATACACATCCCGCAACCCATTGCTCGTACAATAGCCTCTTTCAATTATTCAGCATGAAGCATACAATACTAAGCGCAGTCATCCTCCTCCCCCTTGCCTACAGCAGAACCGCCAAAGAGCTATGTCGCGGTACCGCCGAATTATCCTCTGATGGCAACTGGTACTGTTCTGAGGTCTGGGCCATCACCTACCGCAACATCAGCCAGCCTGGTGCCTACAATCGGACCACTACAGTCGATCCAAAGACTGGTATCTGTGGGCATGAACGTGTCGACTATCCTAGCGCAGGACCACTGACACCATTGTTCGGACAAGTATAGTTTGACTCGGGCTCCAGTTGTTGCATCGCTGACAAGATCAGGTGTCCATGCACCTACGCGGGCCGATGAACGTCTCTCAACTCGCCGTATACCAACTACCTGGTGACGCACGCGCTATGGGGAAGCGAACTACAGTACCTTTCTACAACCGTCGGCGATCGTTGGAGCAGCCAGAGACACCAGTGGCTACAAACCCTACTACTATGCTGACACAGTCGACATCTTCTGGCCGGCCCAGCCTTTTCAACAGGGATGCATGCACCACATCGTCCAGGTGCGTCTCGACGACAGTGACACGGACGGTGACCATAGACGCGGCTTGTTCCCCGACTGGTATTACACAGTCTGGACCAAACACAACCTACATAGGTCCTCCACTGCCGTGCTTACCAACGCCTGGTGCTGTATCGATCTCTGGCTCTACACCTCCAGAGCCGAACTGTACTTGCGTTGAAAACGAAAAGCCCGAGCCCATCTTTCAGCGACCCAATGGGCAGGTTTACGTCAGTCCGACGCCGACACTAAAACATGGACCGGAACCATCGTCAACACAGGACACGCTACCCGTGTCACAGCATCCAGATGGACAGCCTTTTGAGGTCCCTTCACCCTCATCATCATCACCGCAAGACACATTGCCAGTGTCCCAGCGTCCAGACGGACAGCTCTTCGATTCCCCTTCGCCCTCGCCGTCATCAACACAAGACATATTACCGGTGTCACAGTTGCCAGACGGACAACCTATTCAATTCCCCTTGCCCTCGCCATCCTCAATGCAAGGCATATTGACGGTATCCCAGCGCCCAGATGGACAGCCTATCGTACCCTCTCCTTCACCATCGTCACCACAAGAGACGTTACCAGTATCGCAGCGACCAGACGGACAGCCTTTTGACATCCCTTCGCCCTCACCGTCACCTCCACAAGACCCATTACCAGTATCACAGCGTCCAGATGGACAACCATTTGACATCCCCTCGCCCTCGCCATCGCCCATTTTGAAGAGGCAGGGTTCAGATTGGAAGCGGATAGCATACTACACGTCTACATCACCGGCTCAAGCCACCGGGCTCAGCTTCATGGCTAATCTGGGTGATCCTCAGAAATCGGGTACTTTTGACTAGTGAGTATTTTCTCCTTTCATAAGTTTCGAAGCTGACATGTTCAGTGCATTTGGAAACTCGCTCAGCTACGTCACTCCCCGGGGTGACAAAGTAGCAGCTGAGAGTGAGCCGTTCGAAGGCACGCTAAATACGTCTGAGAACGAGATCGTGGTTCTTTCCGATAAAGAGTG